GGCTTTGTGATAAAAACCTAAAAACTCACCTTGTAGTCCTTAAGCCACTTTAAAGCTACAGTGTGTAATTTTTAGCGACATCTAACGTCCAGACTGCAGACCGCAGCAACATGAACATCTCCCCCCCACCGCTTCTCCCCCCCAACAGTACGGCGAGCGTTACGGGACAAAATGTCTTCCACGACGTCCGCATCACCTACCTTCTCAAGTGATGAGGTTTGTTTACATAGATCATTTTAATACTGCCATCTATTGTTCAGTACCGTCTCAGTTCATCTCTCTCAACTTGCCGTAGTTGCTTTCAAGCGTAATGGGCGATCTCGCAATCGCTAGTTTGTTGGCTCTGCGCTGCCGTAGCGCAAAGATGTCTGCCTCCATGGCTGCGAGACCCGCTCCTATGTAATTATAAATAACGAATTCTAAGGCAGCGCAAATATTAAGGTTAAGAGGCTGAGCTCGTAGATGATGATAAATAACATAGTTATGTATAATATATTACATTTCTGACTGTATATCCCTGTAATTATTACACACTGTAGCTTTAAAACAAATATGGCTGCATGCTTGAGGTTGGAAATCTACATCCTAGTTTTGATTCCCTTACTAATTAGAATGATCTTCCTTCCACATTATGCTATAGATCTGGTTAAGTGCACCAGTCCCTCCTGCAGTTGAACAGCTACGCATTATGATGCTACTAACCTTTCACCTCCTAAAGAGGTAATTTAAAAAACTGAGGTTTTATTTCTGTTATTGCTTTTGTAGCAATGGCTTCTTCTTTAGAGAGTGGCATTTCAGCCCATGTTGGTAAAGGGCTTGTTTTACAGGGAAAATTCATCAAGATTCAAAGAAAATCTTAACTAGTCTTGTTCTAGGATTGACCAGCATTTTTGTGATGTTTATATCTGGGACTTTCTCATGCTGAGTATAAATGTGTATAATTGTTTGTAACCATTGCACCTTTAGCTTTCAGAGTATTAAAATAAATTACAATTAGCTTACAGTAGATATTTTAAATTAACCAATCAGAAGCTCTTAAAGGCGTGGCCTAATTATCTAGGTGGAGCCAAATAGCTTAAATGCATAGTTTATGTAAACTTTTGAATTTAAAGAACGTAATGAAATAAATATTTGAAGTCCTAACTGAAAGGCAATATTTAGTCTTTTTTAAGGTCAAAGAGTAAAAAAAATTTACAGGTTTATTTTAGGAATTGTTCATCCCTCCATCCATTTTCCGTCACGCTTATCCCTGTTGGCGTCTTCAGCTTTCTACGGGCGAGAGCGCTAACCACTGCGCCACTGAGCAGCCTAGGAATTGTTCATTCTTTCCTTTTTTTTTGTTGAAGGAAACAGACATTTTCCAGCTAACCTGAGTTCAGTCCAAGTTCAGTGTGAGGGGTCCGCCCCAGCTTTGGGTGTGCAGTGTGTCTTGTCCAGCAGAGTGAGTGCAGGGGAGGACAACTGGTATTTGATCAAAGGCACACACACAAAAAAAAAAAAAAAACTTTGCTGAGGATGAGCCAAGAAACACTTAAGGCAAAGGAGAAACTCTTTGTTTCCGGTACATTTGTGAAATATAAACTAACAAGGGTTCAGCTGCAGAGATTAGTCTAAAGAATAGTGACCTGATAAGAGTGAGACTTGCTTTAAAACAAAAGGATTAAGTCCAAAGCAGCCGTTTCTTACATCCAAAACCACATAGATCAACATTCAATGTAGAATTTAACAGCAAATATTTTTGTTTGACTCTCTGCAGCTAAAATAGGTGATAGCAGAGTTTAATATGTTATTTGGTTAGATATTAAACAGCCAGAGTAATAACTTCAAAGGAAGGGCCACCTCTGAGCTTTTGTTCCAAAACAACTGAAAGGAAACTACTCCGTGTTTCTGGGACACGCCCATAACAGCAGACAATGCCTTATGTACAGAAAGTTACTTGCTGTTTTTTGTATCTAATATGTTTTTGTTTTGTTTTTTCTCATCTTTTAGAAACATTTTCTTGATATTAAACAGCTTCTATCTGAGACAAAGTGTGCAAAAGATGAGATAAAATATTTCAAATGACGGAGACATCTGATGAGGGAAGCTCAGGGTTTTTTCCCCCCTAATCTATAAAAAATGTCTATTGTTTATGAGAACAAAGTCCTCATTTTGGTTAAAAAAAAGGCCACACTAAGGACCAACTGAAAACATTAGGAGTGACTATTCTGATCAGGGAGTGTCTTAAAAAAAACAAAAAGCGTTCTGCTCAGAAACTACATGTTGACCAAACTAAATATTACTGCAGAACAATAACATCCTCCACTCCTACCGGCACTCCCTGAATGTGTGCAGCTGTCTAAGATGTCAGCTGATTTGTGTTGAAACTATTCACCTTGTATTTAAAGTTACTTTACAGTCTGCAACTTTACCTCAACTAATTAACAGCTGACTAATTACATTTCATTTAAATCTGGTTACAAGCCTTCTTCAAAGCTAATATTACACGGGGTTAGTTATTTATCTGAGGCAGATTAATTAACATTCCAAATTAAAGACAAGTTTAATTAGGATATTGATTACATTTTTATAATGTCCGTCATTAATCTTAATAAAAGGAATAAATGTAGGAAATAATATTCTAGGCTTGGTCTTGGATGTCATCTGTAGTTCCTGCTGTTGACACAAAACAGAGACTATATAATGCTTGGCACTCTCTTCAGGCCCTGCTGGCCCAAACACAATGGAATCTTTTAGGCAAACTTTCCTGGCCCTCCTGTTATCTGGGCTATCAAGTGTAGTTGCATTCCTAGCTCCATCTCAACGGCACTGAAACTCCATCTTGGCTGGGAGGTGTGCTGACTATGTGAGAATAATTATACACAGAGGTGTTTCAAACGTATTAAAACACTGTTTTCTTTCTTTATATGCTGGATTCAATTGGTTTCAGGTAAAAATATAAATAAATAACAAAGATACAGTTAAAGAGGGGATTAGTAGAAACCAGGGGCTTCCTGTCAAAGGAAATCAGTGGCGAAAGAGTTGATGATTAACCGGTTTCAGGTGGGGTGAAGGTCAGCATCACAGTCACTGAAGAAGACAACAGTGCTTTCCAGAAGAGTTTACAATAGTGACACATTTAGTCACAATACATCCAAAAGCTTTAATGCCTTTAGTCTGGATGTTATGACAGATAAATACAAAGTACTGCATGTGGGAAACAGAAAGAAAAGGATTTCAACAGTACAGCAAATGTATTTGTTCACTGCTGTACTTTAAGAAATGGAAATGTCTTCAGAGCTGTGCTGAATGAAGTTTTGTTTTTGTATGCATCCTGTGTGTACAAAATTACAATAAAGTTTGTCTAAGTCTACATATCTGTTAAACTGGGCTAACATATGTATCGTTTGCTAACAACTGCATGCTACAAATTGTATCATTATTATCATTTTACTGCACACTTATGCACAGCTCTGTGGCAATCTATCACATAAAATCCCAAGAAAGTAGCTATTTTGAAGTTTCTGGATGAAGATTGTATGTATGTGTCTAGTTTTGATTGTGCTTGTGACTAATACTGCTGAGAATGAAATCACACTCATTATAAGCATGTTTCTAGATTTGCATAAATTGTGGGATTTGCTTTTTTAATTGTTCTGTCAAAACCACATAACATTGTTTTAATTTCCTTTCACGATCATTAAAGTATTTTTGACCGCGCTAACTCCAATTAGCGACACCAGCTAAGAACAATGCATGTGTTTCCATGTTGTCCTTTCAGTTACGAAACCTTCACCAAACTGTGTAAAGATCTAAAGAGGGAATCAGGGCGCAAAATAAAGTTTATGAAATTACATAATTGTATGCAAGGCGGTCATTTCATTTTTAAATTTTTAAAGTCAGAGTTTAAAAGGAAAATCATTCTCGCTTGAATTTCTGTTTAAATAGGGTTTTTTTTTTTTTTGCATATCTGAATATTGTTCCATCACTTATAATATCTAATATCTTCATAAAGTACTAATCTGGGAAAACAATCTAGAAATAAGTAAAAATAAGTATTTAATCCTTAATTTGACTAGGTTAAAAATATGGTTTACCATTGGAATGAGTATTTTTAGTCTTAAAATAAGATAATTAGATAAAATGCACTAGAAATAAGAAAATACAATTGTGTTTTCTTATTTTAAGTGTAAATTGTCTTGTTCTATTGGCAAAATATCTCTTTTACCTCCTCAATCCAAAAACAAATTAACTTATTTTAAGAAAAAATGACTTATCTAGATTTAGATTTTTTGCAGAGTAGATATAAAAAGGAAACAAAAAGCTTAATCCAACAATAATTTGAATTAATCCTATCCCAGTACCAGTTAGGTAAGGAGACATGTATTCTTTTCTACTGTTGATAAGGAGCTGTAAAACATGAAGCATACAACAGAAAATTGTCACTTAAGAAAGAGGTCAGCTTGTTTGCTCTGTGAAGCATGCATTTCCAGGTAGTGAGTAACTGAAGTCCACTTCAGTGTGCAGTGACACACCTGTGGATTCTGAACACTTTATCTCAGATACGTCCAAATGTTCCTTTTACTTCTGTTTGCCAAACTTTTGGTAAAATGTCAACTATATAAAAAGTAATTAAATTCAAAATTTAGTACTCTGATTGCACCTCTTACTTTCCTAATAAGACGTCTTAAGCTATGTTTTTTTGACTTTTGTGCTTTGATAGAAAAAAGTGAAGAATTGTTTTTTTTTTTCTATCCATCAGTCAAGATCAACACTTGTATCTCCTGATCACACATTTCATTCATTCTCTTTGCGCTCTGTAAGAATTGTACACATTCACTGTGTCCTGTTCTTACCCCGCCCATATTTTACCTGGTTTCGGCTTAACCAGTTTATCCTCCCTCTGTTTACTCTATAAAACTTGCCCCTGCACTACCTGTAGGATCACTTTGCCACTGTGCTGACACAGGTCAGCTTCTCTCTTCACAGCATCTTGACTGCATAAGAAGGTTTACTTCACGATGTCTTTTGATCAGGAAAGCTGCTACCTTTGTAAGGAATATCTCAGGGATCCGGTTTCCATCCCATGTGGCCACATCTTCTGCTCCATCTGCCTGAAGACCTACTGGGACCATGCGGACCACACCGGCTCCTACCACTGCCCGGAGTGCAGGGTCACTTACAACAAGAGGCCCACTCCGAGACGCATGGGAGGCTCCCGGCAATCTACCCTCCAACGCAACTCTGAGTCCTTCCCACCTCCACCTCCGTCCCCAGACTACAACTATGCCGGACCCCAGGATGTTGGCTGTGACATCTGCATTGGCAAAAAGCACAAAGCCATCAAGACTTGCCTGATGTGCCTGGCCTCCTACTGCGAGAAGCACCTTAAGCCCCACTTCGAGTCAGCCACTTTCAAAAGGCACAAACTGGTTGACGAGATCGGCCACCTGGACAGGCAGATCTGCCCACAGCATCAAAAAGGCCTGGAGCTGTTCTGCCGCACTGATCAGATGTGTATCTGTGTGCTGTGTACAGTTAAAGAACACAAGGGCCATGACATGGTTTCAGCCGAGCAGGAGAGAGCTGAGGAGCAGGTATGTAACACTAGACAAACTACTCAGACTGGTTGCTGACTCGACTTTTGATTTGCTTACAGTTATATAATATAGCCTCTCTAAATACTTAACATCTAATAATGTAGACCTGTGGACTATAATGCAAGTCCAGGTAACATATACATCAAGTTAAACAAAGTCAGAAAAAAAGCCAAATTTATGCTAAGCGCCTTGAAATATCTAGTCATCAGAAAGACAGTTTCCACTCAACTCAGAGCTATATCCAAGGATAAAAGTGATTTTGCTGCAAATTTGTATCACTGTCGTCATAATCATCATCATGCTCTCTTGTTTCATCTTTAGCAACGTCTGGGCGCCACCCAGGCCGAGATCCAGGAGAGGATTCATGACCGCCTCAAGCAGATGGAGGAGCTGAAACAAGCCGTGGACTCACTCAAGGTTCGTAACCCCAGTTCCATCAGACAACCACTAAACATTGACAGAAAGATTAAAACCAGCCACGCATGACCACATTCCATCTCAAAAGAATGATGACAGCTTGTTTAAGTGTGCTGCGAAAAAAAAAAAAAAAGCCAAAAAACTGGCCCGGCAACTGCTTGATTTATATGACAACCCGCCTGATGTCTCCTGCTGCAGAATTCAGCCCAGAGAACGCTGCAGGAATGCGAAAAGATGTTTAGCGACATGATGCGCTCCATAGAGAGGATGCAGACGGAAATGGCCAAGCTGATATCGACCAACAAGAGGGCGGCGCTCAACAACGCCGAGGGCCACATGGAGCGTCTGACCCACGAAATCGCTGACTTGAAGAAGAGAGACAACGAGATCACCCAGCTGTCCCGAACGGAGGATCACATCCACTTCATCCAGGTGAATGCTAGATCACAATCCCAATGTAACTCTCACACTAATCGACCAAACCTTAATGTTAAAGGCTGATTTTGGCTTTTTAGAGTTACCACATGCTGATAGCCCAGACAGAGGCTGAGGAGTTGCCATCGGTCACCGTGAACCCCTACTTCACCTTCGGCTCTGTTACCAAGGCAGTGTCCGAGATGAAGCAGCACCTGAACGAATTCGGCAATGAAGAGCTGGTGAAAGTCGCCAAAGCTGGTGAGCATTTAGAGAAGAATCATGAATGATCCCAATAAGTTCCACACAACAACTAAACTTTAAACTCTTTATTCTTTGCCTTCGCAGTGAACAAAATGTCCTTCTGTCAGCTGGATGAGCCCAAAAAGAAACGCTCAATTAAAAGTGAGTCAAGAAAATGTTTTACCTGATGCATTGAGTGTTTTAAAAAAAAGTGTTTTGAACCATAAACTAGATAATGTATGACCAGGGGCGGAGCTGGATGGGGGGCCAGAGAGGGCCATGGCCACCTTTAGCCAATCATTGGCCACCCCTACAATTTTTTTAACCTATAATACAGATGGTGGCAACAGTAATATTCTCAAGTGGAATATTCAAAACATTTAAATTTTTCATATATTAACAATTACTTGACAACAAAAAACACTGTGGTTAATTATACACATCAAAATACTAACATTAAACATGATAAGTACTTCATGCTCTTTTCATAAATAGATTTCGTGTTTTATGGGGTAAAGAGAAAATGATGTGTCTCTGCAAGAGTCTTCAGTGAAATCATAGATGATAAATAACTATTTTAATAAAAACATATTAAATAATCAATTTATGTAGATATTAGTACTTGTAAATATCAATTTTATACAGAATGATTACTGATAAAATTAAGTAAGTAAGACAATGGAAAAGATGTTTGCCCAAAACTCAAACCTAAAAGAGTTTTATGCACTATACCTCTTATCTAGAAATTACAGATGTTTATATATATTTGTCTATTTGTTAGCAAAGGCTGTAGGAAAGTATAGTCTGTCTTTATTTAGAAAATATGGATGTTTTGCTCGTTCATTTTCCTGTTGGAACAATGTAGATTGAATCTAAGGTTCTGGTGCCCATCCACTTTCGGCCACCCCTTAGTGTACATTTGTTATTGCCTGGCCACCCTTATTAAATATTTCTGGCTACGCCTCTGGGTATCACCTTACCCTAATTGAAAGTCAGACTCTTTTCAGTCCCTATTGTTTGCCCATGATTATTATCAAAGGCTATTCTAAAACCAGCTCAGTTGCAGCCTGGTTGAATGTTTAACCGTGATGAGGAGTGTCGGCCTATCAGGGTTGACCTGCAGACAGAAATTACCTCCATTGTTTCTGATCCCTTTTTTTTTATAACATTTGCTTCTACAGGTGACGAGGCTGTGATGTACAAGGCTGTACCTGTCCAGGAACCTCAGTACAGGGACGACTTCTTAAGATGTGAGTTTCCGTTTCTGCTGTGAAACTCTTTACTGCTTCCTCTTCTTCAGCCCAGCGCATGAGGCAAATTAGATGCTAATGTTGGCTCTCTGTCAGACCCTGTGGCTGACCACATAATCTGATATCAGAAACAGCTACAAGTCTAACAGTGGTGACAGAGACTGGGGCAGATTCTTTGCAAAGGTTTTTGCATGCTGGCACTCGAGGAGGTTTGAGATTTTTCAGCTTAGTTTTAGTTTGAGAGCCTCTCCCTGTTCCGTTCTGCTCCTTTGCTATGTGTTTGAAATATGGCGTCCAGAAGCTGATATTTACACTGACATGGAGTCTCCCAGGTCCTTGATCTGAGCTCTTAGGCAGTCTTTGTTCAGTTCTGTTTGTGGTTGAATTCACAAACAGTGTCAATACTTCTGGCATTCCAGATCAAAGGCCGGGCCATACTAGACGAGGCAACCGGGTGTCCCACCTACTGTGACCTGCAGAGGTGGAGGTACACAGCAGGCAGGTGACATTTTACCGCTGAGATTTTTCTGATTCTGTGTGTGTCCAGCCAGAGGGTCTCCTGCTTTTTATTTCCCCCCTTGCAAAGCATGCTCCTGCAAACATTAGTTAAACATCTAACAGAGGTGGAAATGCTAATTAGATTCTGCTAACCTCTGGGACCTAACAGTTAGTGGTGCGCTGGTGAGGGTCTCCTTTGGTTTACTCATTGATATTTAACCCCAAGCAATTTAAGTTAAATCATTCCTATTGCTGAGTGGATGTTTTTATCTGTTTTTTGTTGTTTTTTTTTTATCATTTAGATGCTTGCCAGCTCACTCTGGACCCAAACACAGCCTACAGACAGCTCTATTTGTCTCGGGGGAACAGAAAGGCCGCCCTCAAGAGAGAACCCCAATCTTATGGCGACAACCCAGCCAGGTTTGATTCCCTACCCCAGGTCCTGTGTAAGGAAAACCTCGCTGGAGGCGTCTACTATTGGGAAGTAGAGTGGAGCGGGGAGGGCGCCGCCATCGGGGTCACCTACAAGGGCATCAAGAGGACGGGCTACGGAGACAGCTGCCGCATCGGGTACAACCGCAAATCTTGGAGCCTCTTCTGCTCGGACTCCAGCTACTCGGCCCGCCACAACAAAGACCAGATAGAAATCAAAGCGCCTTACTCCTCTCGTATCGGGGTCTTCCTGGACTATGACGGCGGCACTCTCTCCTTCTACGCCGTAGGAGACACCATGTCCCTCCTCCACCGCTTCAAGGCCTCCTTTACTGAGCCTGTCTATCCTGGGTTCTGGGTTTGGTATGAGTCTGCAATCACCCTCACCCAGCTGTGATTGAATAATATCTGTCCAGTGACCACAGTACGCCGTCTGTGATTACTTTTTCTAAATATCTATGCATCTAACAAAAATACATTTGCTGTTTTGTTTTGTTTTTTACATTAAATATGTGTTTTGATCAAAGGGAAGCTGTTGTAAGATGGAGTGGGAATTTTCTATGCCTTACTATGAACAAATGTTAGGATGAAAGCATTTATGGAGTAACTCCAAATACTGTCACTGATTGATGTATGGTTTGATTATTTGCTATTAAAGTTATTTTCATTATTCGCCATTTATTGTAACTCAAAAGGTGTGGTCTCATTGTGTCTGATTGCTCCTAAGCTTCACTTGATGTCTCTTGTTCAATAAGATAGCAAACCATACATGCTTACCTGCAACCAGGGGCGGATGTAGGGAATTTGGGGCCCCAGGCAAAGACAGGCAGAGGGGCCCTCTGAACTGTGAAGACAACACATAAAACAGACCAATTATACAGATACAGAAATTGTTAATAGAACAGACATACATTATTTGTTCTAGGTTTTGTCCTTCTCTTCTTGTCCCTTTTCTTGTTGTTTTCCTCTCTATGTTTTTTACTCAGCTGACTTTTCATGCCGTCTCAAAAGGAATGAAAGATTTTTTCCAGGCACAAAGCTCACTTAGCTGATTGCTCCTTCCTGTGTTTCCAAAAAGGCAAAAGTAAATAACTCATTCCTTCTTTTCACTGTAGACAAGCCATGATCTGCTGATCTGTTCTCCATTTTTCATTTGAATGAAATAATAGCTGCATGAATCATGACAGCAGACAAGATAGAGGAGAGCAGGAGGCGGGGTTACTAATCTACCGTATTTTCACGACTATAAGGCGCACTTAAAC